CCTGCCTGCCCTCGCCAGCATGCATAGTGACCAGGTCTTCCTGAGCTGGGCAGCCAAAGCTGAGTAAGTTAAGCACTCCATGAGATTGCTTTCTAGCATCTGGCCCAGGAATGGGCCTGTGGACTTGAAACAAGGAAGTTTGCCAGTTGAAGCAGTTATTAAACCCTAAGGCCAAGCTGGTTCTTTTCCTCCCTCCTGGGCTTGGAGGGCTGTCTGCCTCTTCTTCCACCCCTGTCCTACCCTCACCAACCCAGTCCCAATCCAGGAGGCTGGGATGATGATGGAACTTGGAGATGGGAAGGCAGGGGGGGCGGGGAGCAGGTAGTCTTCAAATGTTCAGCACAGAAATCTCACTTCCTTCTGTTGGCCCAGGTGCAGGGGCCACCTCCCTGTCCAACCTGACCTGCTACCGTTCTCAACCTCTGCGTGTCAGCCCTTCACATCCTTGGCATGACGTGGGCGCCGTGTCCCTCACACCCAAAATGACAGTCCTCATGGTCACTGAACATTCTGCTTCCCACGTGCCAGCCCCTGGGCCAAGCATGCTCCATCTGTGAGCCCCTTTGAACCTCCCAACTCTCTTATGAGGTCAGTAATGTTATTCTCTCAACCATGTAACTTTCCCAGGAACACATGAGATTCCAATCTGTTCTTTCAACCCCAAACTTGAGGCTCCTAACCACCATATATATGCTTGTCCAAATTCCACCTCACTGTTTATTCATTCAGTAAACATTTACCAAGCATTAACTTTGTGCCAGGCTTTCAAGACCTAGCTGAGTCCCACTTCTGGCAGGATGAGTAGTCATTTACCATCCCAAGAAACCCACACCTTCTGCTTCTTTCTTTTTTCTTTTTTTATTGAGATATAATTGACACATAACAGCATATTAGTTTCAGTTGTGCAGCGTAATGATTCCATATATGTATATATTGTGAAATGATCACCACGAAAAGTCTTGTTAACATCCATCACCACACGTAGTTACAAATTTCTTTTCTTGTGATGAGAACTTTTAAGATCTACTCTCTTAACAACTTTCAAATCTACAATATAGTATTATTCTCTGTAATCACCATGCTGTAGATTACATCCCCAGGGCTTATTTATTTTATAACTGGAAGTTTGTAACTTTGATCACCTTCACCCATTTCACCCCCTGGTCTCTGGTAGCCACCAATCTGTTCTCTGTATCTGTGAGTTCAGTTTTTTGGTTTTTTTTTTTTTAGATTCCACATATAAGTGAGATCATACTGTATTTGTCTTTCTGTGTCTGATTTATTTCACTTAGCATAATGCCCTCCATCTATGTTGTCACAAATGGCAGGATTTCCTTCTTTTTTATGGCTGAATAATATTCCCCTTAATATATGTGATATATATATCTCACAGTTTCTTTATACATTCTTCCATCAGTGAACACTTAGGTTGCTTCCATGGCTTGGCTGTTGTAGATAATGCTGCAATGAACATGGGGGTGTAGATATCTTTTTGAGTTAGTGTTTTCATTTCCTTCAGATACATACCCAGAAGTGGAATTGCTGGATCCTATGGTAGTTGTATTTTTAATTTTTTGAGGAACCTCCATACTATTTCCTTCATTTATTTCTGAATGAAGAAATGAGGAAATTCAGCATCCTTGAGGCCCAGGTCCCACAGCTAGTGGAAGCCAGGATTCAAAGCTAAAGACGTTTCCCCCTGGGTTGGAGGTACGGACCACAGTGCCTGCTGTCAGGACGACTGCTGGTGCATCCTAAACTCCTGGATTGCCCTTCCACCCGGGCAGAACGCCTCTCTCCTCCTCCAGCGTGGCTGGCTCTCTGTAAACACTGCTCTGAGTGGACCAGGGTTCAGTTGCTTCAGCCATGTAAGAACACTGTCACTAGAGAATGACCTGATGCTCAGCTCTTCCCAATCAGTCTGTGCTCACAAATCACCGTCGCCACCTGGCAGAACCTGCACCAGGTGAGCACTAATTGTCCTGCAATCAGGCAGTAATTTATTCCTATCTCCCTCTTCCGCTTATGAGAGCCAGGTGAAATCTAAGCAAACAGCACATTTTCAAACCTAGAGCTATCAGACTGGGAGATTAAACTGCAAAAGTTACAGTCCCAAGATGATAAAATCAATCACAGGTAAATGTAAAGGAATTTGGGGACCAGCGAATGGGTCTGCTCAGCTTTCCATGGCAGAGTGGGCCATCTCAGTTCACGTGTGGACAGCAGGTTCCCAGAGCCCGTGTGCTGGGGTCTGTGATGGAATGACCCTTCCCGTTCCTGTAGCAGCCGACGCTCGTGGTGTGGCCAACAGGCTGTGGGGAGGGTAGGCTTGTGATTTCACTGGTGGGCCTGGGAGGGTGACAGCATGCCCTGCAGTCGGGGTGGGGGCTCTCTGGAGGTGAGTCACTCGGGGCACACAGCTGGAGGATGTCGGGGAGCTGCAGGAGGCTGTGATGGGGGCCCTCCAGGTGGAGTCTGCACAAAGACAGGATGACCAAATGCAGGGCCTGCAGTCACCAGAGTGGGCCTTGTAAAATGTGAGGGGCCTGTGCTGAGGCTTTCTGGGTGACCAGCTGGACCTGTATGTGGGTCAGGAGTACATGGGACACAGCGGGGCGGGAGGGTCTGTCACCACTGTCCAGTGAATCAGCCACGACCTGGGTGAGTGGCTGAGCAGCGGTGAGAGGTGAGACCAGACCTTTTGTGGCTAGTCCGTGGAGATGGCTCCAGACGGGCCAGAAATAAGGTGGCGCCTGGACCTAGAAGGGAGGGAAACAAGATGGTGTTGGGCCGAGGAGCCGAGGATTGGGGTGGGAGCTGGAGACTTCCATCCAGAAAGCCCCACCCTCCCAGTGTTCCTGGAGTACAAGGCCGGAAGTGGGAGATGTGGTGGTGCTCTGCTGTTGTGAGTCTGGCACAGCTGCTTTTGTCCTCCATAACCTTTGCTACAATTCTTGAACATTCTGACCTGGCATGGCTGTGTGTGGTGATGGGAGAAGGGGTTCCCAAGATTGGGGGGAGCTCAGGGCACAGCTGAGGGCTCAGTGAGGACCCCAGGGGACAGGGAATCGCAGCTGGCCTGGACCCCTCTGGGAGCCGTTGGAGCCCTGTGCACTCGTACCTGGAGGGTTTGCTTTCCTTTCATAAGGAAGTGTGGTTTCCTGACCGTGCAACTTCTCCAGGGGGATCAGAGACCACCCACGAGCTTTGACAGGAACAGAGAGTACTGCGCCCCCCATCTACTGAATCAGGGGCCCTGGGCCTGGGGCTTCCCAGAAACCTGTGGCCCAACCTACGCCACCATCACCCCCACCGCATCATTTGGTGTTCACTAATGTCTGAAAGTACCGCCTGAGCCCCGTTGGTCCCACAGGCACCCACCAGCCTCACAGCAAGCAGAGCGTGATGTGCGGGGCGTGTGGATGCGCAGGGGTAGGGGGCATGCAGGTCCCCGCCCTCGGTGAGCTTACGGCCTAGTTGGGAAGCCAGTGATGATGCAGAACACCACCAGGCAGCAGAGAGAGGAGAGTCCAGGCTGCTTGTGGTGAGTGGCCCACAGCAGAGCACAGGAAACGTGTAACCAGAGCAGTTCTAAGATGTGGGTTTGGGGGTTTCACGCTCACTGTTTTACTTAATCATCAGAACAGAGAAGGAAAGTAACCTGCCCAGGGTCACACTTCTGGTACGGGCTGAACCTGAAGTCACACCCAGCTCTGCTTAACTAGATTCACTGATGACACAGCTGCCTCTGAATTCAGAGCAGGGAGAGATGTTGTGGGGCTGTAGGGCCTGAGAGGTGCCTTAAGTGCCCAGGGGCTCAGGTGGGGGAAGGGGGATTTGGATGGCCGGGAGGATGTCAAGGCGTAAGGTGGAGGTAACAGCATTGGCAGACATGGGGGACATCAGGACTAGAAGGATGGGTAGTGATGATGAACTAAGTAGGGAAAGTCAGTCCAGGCATGCAGGCCTATGCTGAACTCTGGGAGATTCAAGAATACCCCCGCCCACAGGAGGTTTCACTGTAGTATGCGAGACAAGGCATGGGGCCACAGCAGACAGAGAACCATGCGGGCCCTTTTCTGTTGCTGGAAATAATAGAGTAACCTGTGGTGTGTATTCTGGTTATCAAATGCCCAGGGTTACTCAGAGCCACCATTTTCCAAGATCACTAGTTTTCAAACAAGTTGAAAACAATGGAATATACTTGTCCTAAGACTGGACTTAGCATAATTTACCTCAATGATACATAAGCCTCCAAACCTCTGGCCTCCCTCTGGGCTGTCAGTGTGGCCTCCGGGGTGAACTGGAAATGCCGTTGGCACAGGCAGGCACACACTCATCCATGCTTTGCCTTCATGACACTGCTGTCATCTGTCAGTGGGTCCTTCTGTCTGTCTGTCTTTATTCCCATGGGCACTGACTAGCAAGTAAAGACGGCCACGAAGCCTTTGTTGGCACAAAATGCTGAGAGAATTATCACCAAGCTCATGACAGGCACGGTGATTGCAATAAATTACCCCCACAGCAAGTGATAAATAGCCACTTTCTGCAGCCGTTATGTTTGGCTTTGTATCCTGAAAAGTAAACACACCTCTCTGTCTCTGTCTCTCTCTCTCTCTCACACACACCTGTGGTGAGGCAGTCTGCCCTGCACTGGATGACACTTACTCATCTTATGCATCCTGGGTTCTGCTGGCTGTCCTACCTCAGTTCCTGTGGCAAAGAGACTTGAGTCTGAGCCGCTAATGATCCCCAGTGAGGTTTCCTCCCCAAACAGGAAGTATTAAGCCAGCACTGCTCTCACAGTGCACTCTGTAACCAAGCATCAGTCACCGCTCCCGGTCCAGTCCGTGCGGTCAGGAGCTGGAGTGCAGGCAGAGGGGGCGGCAGCCGGGCTGTCTAAGCCCCCGGCAGGTCCTCGCCCTCGGAGGGTCAGCTTGAGTCCTGACTTCAAAACCCAAGTCAGGCTGCCCGCTGGTCGGAGGGAGACCCGAGAGTTTCAGACCCTCGTGCTGGCCAGATGTCCCACCAGCCTGTTGTTGGTAAGTCTGGTGAGGGCACAGATCCACGGTGACATAGGAGTGTGCGGGTCCTTCCCCCCAGCCCCACCACCCCCCGACCTGCTCAAGGGTGCACGGCATCTCGGGGAGTCAGAGGGAGCTGCACAGCCTCGATTCAGGTGCCACTGTTTGGAACTGGCAGCAAAGAGCGCACAATAATGAAGTTCCTGCCAAAATAAAATAGGAAATTTGATCATCTGCACGTTAAGTCAGGCACCTTTCAAAGTAAAGGGTTCAAGGATTTATCACACACAGTGCCTTCAGTTAGTGAGAGCCAAGGCTTCATGGGCTCTGGTGTGTTAAAAAAAAAAAAGATGTTAGTGTTTATGATGCATTTCTGTGGAAGGCAGGCCCATTGGGAATTGTAAATTTTACTTATGGGTAACCATTTCTGGGTTGGTTTATCACAGAACTGTTGCTGTAAGTAAGCAAACTGGATTTTTCTAGAATGATTCGAAAATCTAGATGTTTGTAAAAAGCCCTATAAATTATTCATTCACTTCTATTTTGCAAAGTGGTGTGGTGATAACCCTCTCTTTTCTGTCAGATGAAACTGGCACCTACGTGTATTTGTGTGTGGATCGGCTTGTGTGTGTGTGTGTGTGTGTGCCTGAGCTTTTGTATTCTCTTTTGTAGGAATTCTCGGCCTTCCTTTTAAAAATATAATGATTTTTTTTATGATGTCTAAATAACGATTCCAGGCAGTATTACAAGAAATGTAACAGTAAAATGTTTGTAAGAGGCCATCAGAAAGGGAAAAATGTCCACAGAGAAAATAGAAATGCAGCAATTAAGATGTGTGTGGCTATAACCCAGCTTTTAAACCCTGTTTTGAGACTAGCATCCTCTATCCTGTCTCCCCTGTGGTCTCTGTGGGGTCTGGGGAGGGAGGACCTGGACTCGTGTGGACCTTCCTTCTTGCCGCCTGGACCCGTCAGCCTGAGAGGGAGGGAGGGAGGTCCTGGGACCTGCACTGCCGTGGTTTGGAATCGAGGATAGAGGGCAGCCCTGGATTTGCAGAAACAGCCTGAGGAGGAGAGGCTGGAAAGTATGAGTTGGTGGCTCAGCAGGGCGGAGGGAAAGCCGAGAGGAAGGGAGCAGACCACCGCAGAGCCTGATGTGGACCAGGTGGCTGTTACTCATGCGCATGGCAACGAGCTGCCCGCCTTCACCCCCCTGGAGGCAGCCTGAGTGCAGGGACTGGATGGGACTAGGGCAGGAGCCACCTTTGGGGCCTGGAGGAAGTCCTGACTGGGCCTCAGTTTTCTCATCTACAAAATGGAAGTAATGATAGCCTTCCACATGTTCAACCCGAATGTACAAGTCCACGATCAGGGTCTCTCCCCAGTGTGAGTCTGGCCTCGCCTCACAGTACCTTCCCTTCATTTGACTCCTGATTATTGTAGACGTGCCACGTGCCAGACACTTGCTGGGTGTGGGGATGAGACTTCCTAGCTGAAAGGGTGGGCCTCACAGCCCCGGAGATGCCCAGGATTTCGACATGAAGTGGCTTCAGGGACAGTCAGAGGAGGGAAGGGGGAACTAGGGAACTTCCCTGAGAGCTGCTTCTATTTGCATAGCAAGTAGCCAGCTTTTTACTGAGTTGATTTCAGATCCATAAAATGGAAAGATTGTACAGAAGCTGTTATTCATTTTACCTGATGGGGAAATGTGAATTATTCATATCAAAGAGTATTAGTATTGATATTAACATTAGCACACGAGGAAGGGTGATGGAGATTATGGGGGGCTAGGCACCCCACCACCACCCACCCCTTGAACCTCTAAGGGAAAAGACCTACCATTGTATGCTGGTTCCACCCCGTTACCTGTGCTACAGAGAGCCAAGGGGACCGGAGAAGGGAGGATTAATCCTGCCTCAAAGAGGAGGTAGGGTGAGGGCTTCACAGAGGAGGTGGCCTTTCTGCTGGACCTTGAATTTCATCATTTGGAGGGAAGGGACTTTCCAGGCAAAAAGATTAAATCTATGACCTGAGCAGAAAAAAGCATGAGGTCGGGTGGGATGACCAGACATGAGCCCATAGACCGGGCAGGCCTCGGCTAAGAAAAGCCAAGGAAAGGAAAAGGCCATCTGCTAGTGGCCACAGCTGGGCGTTGCCTGCCGATGGACACCCCTGCCTAATGGAGAGAGGGCAGACCACTCCCACGGGCCCTGAAGCCACTGACCCAGCATCCCTGAAGCCTCCTTCCATGGGCACCCACATGCCAGGCTGCACCCTGATGGGCCTGAGATGTGGTGTTTGATTTTCCATTTTGGCCAGAGCTGCATGAGTCTATTTGTGTTTTTATTTGCAGTGTTTAAACACATCTGTGCATTAGTCTTCTGTGTTATTGAGTTTCTGAAATAGTGAAATGCCTGGCCAGGTCTAACACTATGTTCAGGCTGTAGGGATGAGAAACTCGGGGTGTTATTTAATCACCACCGGGTACAGGAGGGCCCAGCTAGGTACTGGGGGGAACAGCCAGAATTCACAAGCATACTTTGCCTTCAGGCACAGAATCTAGCAGTTAAGTCATTCAAGCCACAGACATTAATTGAGCACCTACTTGGTGCCAGGCCCCAGGCCAGGTGCTAGAGACACAGAAATGGGTAGGAAGTGGCCCCTAGTCTGGTGGAGTGAGAGACATGCGAACCATTGTGTGCAGTCAATGGTAACGTGACAGAAGTGCTGAATGAGTCTCTCTGTCCTTAAGGGCCTGGGAGGAAGCCAGGAGGTCTCCCAGGGCTGCCTGGACCAGCCTTTTAAGCTCTTGGGGACTCTTGAAAAAGTCAGAGGTCTGCATGGAGCTGGCCCCTGGCGGGTGGTTGGGAAGTAACTGCATCACCCTCCCCACACAGAGCAGTTGGAGAGTGGAGGCTGACATCCGGTGTACCCGGGAGTCCAGAGGAAGAGGCTGCCGAGAGTCAGGGGAAGTCCCCTCAGAGCCTTCTTGGAAAAGGTGGCCCATCAGCTGGGCCAAGCAGGGGAAGCATGCGTCCTCAGGAGGCCCAGGAATGGGCCCACGTGAGGCAGGCTGAGCTTGGCAGCAGCCCCTGGAGCTGCCTCTGTGTGTCTTGGCTGCCTCTGCCCGTTTCTCTGCCTCCATGCCTCCCCTGCCCGGGAGTAGAAGGTCTGATCCCTGATTCTGCAGACCTACACCGTGGCAGGAGGAGGGGGTGGGGGGCAGTCACAGCCCACAAGACCCATCTGGCCCCAGGTTTGCAGCTCCAAGTGTCCCTGGAAAGCAAGAAGCCACCCACCCCCAGGTGCTGAGGCTGCAGATTCAGCTGCCGCCGCCTGACAGCCTCCAGCCCGGCTGGATTAACCGGCCCACAGGGAGCTGGCTGCCAGACATGCCAGCGCCCTGACCTCGCTGGGCAGAGATAAGCCACTCCCCGCTGGCTCCCACAGCGCCTGGGTATGCCCTCATTCAAGCACTTTTCTCCTTGCCACAGGGTGTAGCCAGCCTTTCCCCTAAGAGCCCCAAGAGCCACCTGCCAGAATAACTACTTTGTACACAGTAGGTATTCAGGAAATAACGAATGAGGAGATTTTTCAGATGAGGATTGGCAGGACCAACTATTGTGTAAAACTGCGCAGGCTGTGCCCTGTACAACTCCAAAGGGTACTGTTCGCATGGATCACAATATAAATGGTGCCCTGGGGATGTGCAGAGGGGGGACTCTGGGGCGTGAGCATCCTCCCTGCTTCGAACGCCTGGCCTTGGTGCTGACCACTGGGCCTTCCTCCTCTCCCCTCCCCCCCAGCACTGACCACTTCAGGCAGTGGGTAATGATGAACTGTTCCAGTGAGCAGTTCTTCCAGGCCCGGCTGTCCATTTGTGGTAGTGAAAGAGAGTTCTGGACGTGGAGTCAGGCCGTCTGAATTCTTGGTCATCCAGGACACGTCCTCTGGTAAGATCTCCCCAGTTGGGGTGTTGGGGGCTTCTGGGCGCCCAGGATCTGTGTGGTCTCCTGGTACTACTCCTGTCTTCTCCATCAGCCCACACTGGGCCTGGTGACCTACGAGTGGGTGGGGAGGGGTCCGTGGGAGCGGTCACTGTGGAGTTTGCCTCCTGGGCTCAGTGAACAATGCCGCCATGGCCTTGACCGCCTTCTCCTCACCAGAAAGAGCCGGCTCTGGGAGGCCAAGGGCTATGCAGGGATGGGGCACGTGTACCTGACCCTCAAGACAGAGAGCAGCATAGAGAGGGAGAATGGATACCCGGGGTCCCGGGGTCAGGGAGAGCTTTATGGAGGAGGCAGGCCAAGAGCTGGGCCCGACTGTAAGGACCCAGGAAACAAGTCGAATCCGGAGTGCTTCTTACATGCAAGTGATTCGTTAATTCATTCACCCTTCGCACAGACCTTTACTGAGCATCTGCTGCAGTGGTTTTCAAAGTGTGGTCCTGGGCCCAGCAGCATCAGAAAGTCTGGGGCTGGAGCCCAGCAATACGTCTTAACAAGCCCTCCAGGTGACTCCAGTGCAGCCCTGGTTTGACCTACTATGTGCCGGCACTGGGCTCAGTGCTGGGGTTGCAAGAGTGAGTTTGACTCAGTTCCTGCCCTTGAGGAACTTGGAGCCTGGGGAGGAGACAGACAGGAAAGAGAAATACTGTCAGTGGGAGAGGGGCGTCTCTCGAGGGGTGTGGGGGCAGAGAGGCAGCTGGTGTGGGTTTGACCCAGGAGCTGGGGATCCTGGTGAGGAAGGGTGGCCTGGGGACCCCAACGGCACGAGGACCGTCCCTAGCAGGGAGCTGGATCTTGGGGCTAGCAGCCCCTAGAGGGCTCAGGAGTCCACTGTCCAGTCCCAAACCACCCTGGTGCCCAAGCCCTCGCCACCAGCCTATCCCTACTCCCTTTCTGTTCCACTGTGAGTCCCAAAGGGCAGCAAGTCTTTTCCTCCAGCTGTCTTGGTGGGGAATGTGTGCGTACCTCCAGGCCATTATCCCAGAGCACATGGACAGTTTAGAAAATTTCA